CTTTTTAAATGAGTTCTGAACGAAAATTAAAAATTCTCGCATTATAAATTTTATTCGCTGTAATAATATCAATAATTTTATCCAATATTTAATAACGAAAAGTGTAGCTTTAAATCATTGTTAATTACGATACATATACCACTTTACAATCCCCGGCAAAAGTAATAGTGTCATTTTTGGTTTTGAATATATTTAATGTAATTTTATAATAATAGTTAAAAAAATTTTTCAAATAAAAGATGAATATAAATTTATTATAAACAAAATAAGCCGTGCAACGAACATGCAAGAAACAATTTCGTTTACGACGCCACTATTAAAATATAATGTTAGATCATCGTTGCATCGTTGTCATATGATCAAAAAGACAAAATAAAAACTTACTGTAATTGTTAATCTCAAGCTCGTCTGGAAGCTCGGTAATAACCACCTCGAATCGTTCTTGAACTTTGTTCAAAATTTCAGCGTCTTCAGAATTAGCAACAAACGTGATCGCAGCACCTTTAGTTCCGAAACGTCCGGCACGTCCGACCTAATGTCGATTTAATCATGAGAACCTTATTCCATATTAAATCTTAAAAAATAAATAAAATCTTACTCTATGCAAATATGTATCTGGACCGTCGGGCATGTCGTAATTGATAACAATGTTCACACGTTCGATATCAATACCACGACCAAACACATCTGTAGCTACCATGATCCTCTTCTGAAAGTCTTTGAACGACTTATATTTCGCAATTCTGAATGAATAAATAGGCAGAATTAGTTATGTCTAAAATAGAAATTACAATTGCTCTGAGTGGGTGTGATTTCTGTTTACCTTTCTTCTTGTTTCATGCCACCATGAATACAAATACTTGGGAAGTTACAATCACAAAGAAGTTTATTTAATTCATTGGCTCTAGAAACAGATCTTACGAAAATACACACTTGATTGAATTCAAGTGTGTCTAGAAGATCATTAAGTTTGCGATTCTTAGCGGATTCTTGTAACTTCACAAAATGTTGTTGGAGGCCATGTAAAGTTAATTTCGTTTCATCATCAACGTAGATTTCAAGTGGCTGTTAAGAATAGAATAAATGTAAAATGGTGTATTTGTTAATAAGAAAAAACAAAAACTAATAAAGAGTTACTTTAAGACTTACGTTTTGCATGAATTTCTTGCAAATCGGTCGAATTTCTTTGCTCAGAGTTGCACTAAACATCATGACTTGTTTATTGTGTGGAGTTTTTCTGAAGATAGCTTGGACGTCACGTCTCATATCTACATCGAATAATAAAATATTAGAAATGGTTAATAAACG